GATTAACTAATCCTCAATTACCTTTCATGAGAATGGTTATCATATAATTCAATCCTCGTGTTAATTTATCACAATGTGATCTCAAACTTGGTTTAAAGTCTCGTTTGATTATGATCAAATAAGTTTTCTTCGATTCCTAAACGTCTTTAGCTCTAAAGTAAACCAACTATGCTCTATTGGTATACTCTTACTATGGCCACAGATTTCTTAAGCGGACATTCATCAAATTTTAATGTAATCACTCTTTGAGTATATAAAAAATGACATGTCTTATCTCAATCATCCATCATCTTAATTAGATTTCTACTATACCTAATGAATCACCTATATGCGACTCTTGACCGAGTCCATCGAAATAAGTGTCAAGGTACATAAATCATCTAATGAGATAGTCATGATGACTTCAAGTCAAAGGACTAGTTATACTCATCTCGTATGAGATTTTCATAAACTAAACTAAATGGTTTCTCATGGTGAGTCATGTCCAATGATCTCGTTTTCTTATATTAATCACCTAAGTGCTTGTTTTGGGATCACTATGCTAATAAGTATGAGATCTCCTACTAATATCTTATAGCACGAGTATAGGACTCATAAGTCTTACCACATATAGTGAATATTCGTTCTAGATAATGCTATGACTTGGGATATTTAATGATATCATGTAAATGGATCAATGTTCATCTCACATCAATTATTAATGCAATGCATATCATATGGACTTTTATCTAATTGTATCAAATTATAAACGATAAGAATCAATAGAAAGACTTCTTTTTATTAATATATAAAAAATAAAATATTACAATAAATCAAACCATCCAAATAAGGTTTGATTTTGAGTTCCTACACTAACACTAACTTGTGTGGACAAAGTCATTGGAGGATTCCTAAAGGATCCAATTTAAAGTCTTCAACGACTTCTTGAATCTTGTGAATGAAGTAATTGGTGGCTTTCCAAATGATACGATTTGAAGTCATCGGTAACTTCCCGAATGTTGTGCTTGAAGTCATCAATGGCTTTCTACTTATATAGACGAAGCCATCGATGGCTTCTAAACATTTTTTAATGTCCCGTTGTTGTATGAATCGAGATTGTCGGTGGCTTTTCAATTATGTGATAAATTTGCTGGTGGCTTCCTAAGCTTGTGACTTGAAGTCATATGTGGCTTTCTACTTGTGTAAGTGAAGTTGTCGGTAACTTCGCTTGTGTCAATAGAGGCTCTCAATCTTTAAAAACTCACTATATAATGATACGGGTTTGTGTTTACTAAAGGTTAGCTAAAATTTCAATCTTTACTCATTTCTTTCCTTTTGAATAAGGGTATTGGTCTTGGACCTAGTCTGAATCTTAAATTGTTCTACTAATCCTTTTCAAAAAAATAAATTCACTTAAATAAGCATATAAACATAACATAATAAAACTAGACTTTTATTTTTGTATGCATTCAATGTAGCTTACCTCGGGTAGGATGGGATGACGGTGATGCTACATCTTTCCCATATTTAATCGATCCTTTACCAAGATATCTATACGGATAATTTGTTTAGGGTTTCTTAGTTTTTCCTAATTAGCGAGGTGACAACTCCTTTTTCTGCGCCTCTTTACAAGCCCTTGTTGACAATATTAATATCTTTGTCTAAAAGAGATTAAGCTTCTCATCAAAATATCTACTATTGATAGCATTTGTCTCCCGAGTTTGCCTTTAGATAGAGGTCTAATCATGATCGACCATTAAAACCGATGGTAGAGCTCCATGCTTAGTCGTATTGAGTCTTGCTCTTAAGCATGTAGCAAAGGAAACCGATCAAAAATGGCTCCTTGAATAGAAATAAAAATATGCTCTTGAAGGATTGGAGATAATGCTTAAAGATGTAGAGATGTTTGAGGAGAGAAATAAGATGCAAATCAATTGACACAAACTCATGAGGAGCTAGCTGAATATGCAAATCACCAATTGACATAGTATTGTTCTTTGTCATATGCTTTCCTTGTTGATCAATGATGTAGAATTTTTTATTGAACTCCTTGATTGTGTTCCAAATGACATAACAATTTATATGTCACCATATAAATATATGTCCTTAAGCATATGAAAGACTTTTTTAGCATATAAAATTTAATTCGTGAAGAGAAGCAACTATCTCACAATTAAACAGAATTATAGAGATAATAAGTCCAAATAAACATGGATGAGTAAACTAATCCTATAGAAACAATAATTTTCGAAATAAAACAAAATATAATAGTGTTGAATTTAACTGCAAAGGCTAAATTAAGATATAAAGTTTATATTTGTCGTTGAAATAATATATGCCCAAATTAACATTAAATAATTAAGTTTACATTAAGTAATAAATATAGAAGTTTACTTTAAATAGTCAATCAATAAACCTTGAGATTTATGCCAAACAAATTATAGAAGTTTACGTCAAGCAATAAATTATAAAGATTTGTATGAATAAACTATGAAGTTAACATCAAATGTAGAGCTAGTGAAACTAAAAGAAAATGCTAAATTGTATGGAGAAAAAAAAAGCAATTAAATAAACTAAAAATAAGTAAAGAAAGCAATATATAAAGCTATAAAATGAAAAAGGTGATAAATAAAACAATAAAGAAAGTAGTAAATAATACAGTAAATAAAGCATAAAGATAACGAACAGATCTAAAAAAATAGACTTATAAAAAATAAATTATGAAAGATAAATTGAAAAAAAAAAAGATAAATCTTGTATTTAAATCGTGTTACGAGCAGGCCAAAGAAAATTCAATGAGCTATGCTCTTGAAATACTTTTTTAAAAACTGAATTTATTTGTGATACAAGGAAATAAAACCAACCTACGAGTCAATCCCTAATAATAAAAAATATTAATTTGGACAAATATTATTATTCAAATCAAATAAAAAAAAGTAACCTAAAGAAATTGGAATTTTTAATCTTTGTAAACACTAAACATGAAAATCTTGAGTTGGAGAGCATGTAGAATTTTCTTTATTAATCTTGGTCACAAATTTTTTTAGTCCAAAAAGAATAAAATTAATATCAACCATGTTCAATAAAAAATATTATTTTTTTAATATCAACCATGCCAACTGTCCATTTCTTATTAAAAAAAAAATATCTACAAGCGAGTCAATTGATTGAAATGTTTATTTTGAATGTAAAGATGCCCTAAATTAATATCCTTAACTAAGGGCATTTAATTATACATCAAAAACTATATGATTGAATAAATCCCAATTCATTAGGCTTTTCGATACAATCAAATAGAAAGGCCCAAGGGCTCCATATTCTAGAACCCAAACTATGTGATTGAATGAATACTCCTCTGTCTGTTGCGGGTAGAGGATTCCTTCTACTTCTCCTTCTTCAAACTCATTTGTTATAGAGAAATCTCTGATCAAGGATAGAACAAGATCCATTTTGCATTATATTTAAGGGACTCCTTGGTTCGGGTCGAAGAAGCAATGTTACTCGATCATTATCAAACTGACTGCAATCTTTTTCTGTCCGTAAGGATCCCATCAGAGGGTCTTCTACTTCTAATAGGCCATGAACTAAACTAGGCGCATTTAGCTACGCACCAAAAACTTCTGCCTTGTAGATAATGACCCTAACACCATTCTACCCAAAAAGAGCCTGACAGCATAATAATACTCTAAATGCTGCTTATTAAACAAGCCACATTCCACTTCTTTAACTTCCTAATCCCCAAGCCACATTTCTGTTTAGGAAGAGTTAAATCAGTCCATGGCACTAGTGGCTGAATTATCTCTACCATGCATAAGAACGCATTGCATTTACTCTCAATAGCTTTAATGACATGAGAAGGAAGAATGAATATGGATGCCTAATAATTTAGATGCCCGATTTGGCAACCTGCTAGTGACCTTGTCAATTAAGCGCATACAATCAGCAGACAGTTACTTGCTCGAGACAACAGGAACTCCTAGATATTTGAGAGGAAGTTTCCCAAGCGCAAACCTGGAAGCACCTTGAAGTGCCTATTTCGATTATCATTAACCCCAGCACAAAAGATCTCGCATTTTGTCGGATTAAATTTCAGCCCTGGTAGAATGTAGAACTGATGCAAAATAGCTTTAATTTGCTTACTAGCATCCACTGATGATGTTGAGAAAATAGTCAAATATCAGCAAAACATAAGTGGGTTAAAGAAACATTATTACATTTAGGATGGTATAGTAGCTTCCCTTGCTCAGCCGCTAGATTCACGAGGCAAGATAAATCTCTATTGAAACTACAATAAATATACTCAGTTACCTCATCCCTGACGACATTCCGAGATGCTTTGAAAAATTCTAGAGTATAACCATATGGCCTAGTAGATTTGCTACCCTTTAAAGAAAACACTGATTATTTAATTTCGGCATCAGTAATAGGAGCAAGAAGCATCTGTTGATGATTTATTATTATTATTATTATTATTTATAAGTAGTGTGGTATTTTCAGCTAGTTTTCACATCAACCGACATTAAGTTCATTACTTCCAAACTAGGTTAGCATTGGACCACACCTAGTCTTCGGCCAAAGTCTAAGAGCCGGACTCTTTGAGTCTATGGCAACTCATGTCTAGTGCTACACAAAAGAAAGAGAGAAACTTGCCAAATATGAAAACCGAATTCCTGACCTGATGAGTCAGGACACTATTCTTACCACTCCACTTACAACCTTCAATCATGTGTCGGTGATCAACTATCAACCTATTGTTCACAAGGCCTTCGAAGAAATCTACATTACCACCGTCTACAGCACTATCTTGCTCCTCCAAAAGTTTATGGTAAACTAGCAGCTTCATCGATGATCTCTGCAATGGAAGTAAGTTTCTCACCATTAGTATAGTACAAAAGAGGGATATTATTCCTGATATTTTTAGAATTTGTCATTTTATTGAAAAATTCAACGTTAAGATCACCCTTTTGAACCCAACTTCCTGTAGATTTATACCTGTTTAAAGCTTCCTCAAATTTTACATGTCATGTTAAAGTTTCAGATAGACGCTTTTCTTGCATCATATTTTCAACGGTAGGACTATCGGACTGAGCTTTATCAAGAGCATTCCGGGCATTTTCCACTTTTGCAGTAATATCATCATAGTGGGTTGAATTGAGCTTCTTGATTGGGTCTTTGAGAAGCTTGAACTCTAGCCAAATTCTAGACATGGGCCAACCATCAATTTTTCTATTCCACACTACAGTAACAATCTCCAGTACATTAGCAATCTAAAAATTAAAGTAATTTGAGTCTCTTTTATTTTGTAAATCAACGTTAGAATCCCTTAAAGATTTTTTTTTCCTTTGATTTTTGGTTCAAAAGATTCGATCTCTCCTTGGACTGATGATTGACACATAGTTTGATCAGGATCGTTGAATTGTTCAACCGAAGAACTTTGGTCAGCCTAACAGAAATGACTGACAAGGGGGTTTATGCAAATTAAACTAGAAGTATAGATGTTGATTTGGCTAAATTTATTGAGGAGTTAATTTGACCATATTCACAAAATAGAGGGGCATCTGCCATCTGATGGCTTTTATCTCCTTGGGGACTCTCCATCAAGATCAACCTTCTGAATGATCCGATATTCTCTTTGGGGAATCTTGACTAATTACATCAGCAATTTTTGCATTAGAAGATAGACCAGTTTCATTGGCAACTCTACATCTCACCTTATTATATCAATTAATGAATTGTTTGTGTGTTTTTCATCCCACAGAGCTTATTTCACTTCCACACGACATTCCCTTCCCTCCAAGTCCCGGACATCACTTATGCGTTCACATATAACACCACAAATTAAATGTAAATTTACCTACGGCAGCCACTTGACAAAAGTCACCTATATCAAATATTCTCCTCCCAAAATTATCCGGCAGACCCCACAAGCAGCTAGTTGCTGTTACCATTTTAAGACCAATTTACTTGTAGTTCCAGGCAGTCTTCAAATGGCGCGCTCTCATTCCACAAATATCACAATCCATGCTGATCAATAATTATTAATTTGTGGCATTTGCAATGTCGAAATGGAAATCTATTGCTGTACTTCGATCCATTTCAACAGTGCATGTTATAGTTCCATCTTTTCTTTGATGCAACTTATCAATCAAAATTATTTCTTAGGAAAATCGGGAACTGAACCAAACAGAGTTTAACAGCACCCAGAAGAACTACACAGCCGCTAAGGAAAGCACCAAGACTTCTATTTCTATGCCTACAAATCAGTGAAGCACAAAATCATCATTCCAAGGCTAAGGCTAATATTTACTTTCTATTAGCCTAGCCAAATATCATCCTTTAATGGCAGGCAGTAAATAACACCAACTCCAGGATATTACTACTAATTTACAAATACTCATCCCGAGAATATAATACTCGATCACAAATCACAATTTAACCAGAAGCATTGTCAACTCCACACTCCCGCCTATTCTATCAGACAAGCACATAGCATGCTGAACTTTACACTCCACCCACAAACATCGACTATCATGCACTGTCAACTTTACAAACTTTCTTGAGCATTAGGGTACAGCTTATAGTAGGGGTTTTTTTTTTTTTCCTCTAATTTTCGAGGGAAAAAAATAAAATAAAATAAAATAAAATAAAAAAGAAGAATTTCCTGGGGAAATAATCACTGTAACTACATTGTATGCAAGTAATCACTGTAAATTTATCTATACATCATTCAGTCATGTCTGTAATGCCCAGACAACAGTTACAATAACCAGGACTCACTTGAAAGGTCTCTTGCCCAAGCTTGATTCTTCTTTCCAGAGCACAAATGCTTCCATTAATTTGATGGTCTCAAGATCTCCTAACTAGGTTAAAGAATCGCCTTTAGCTATATCATCACCTAGCTGGAACTTCTCAAGAGGAATGCTAAAACACACCCCAAAAGTGCACCTGCAACAACCTGCAGCAGAATAAAAACAAAAATCTGTTTAAGCAAAATGAGCTACTTAAGTCTGCATAAGTTTTGTCCATCTATGTGCAGAATATAGAATTACAATGATGCCATCTCTAGTTGTTCAAAAGATAAGCTTAAGAACATCATCATAATTAAAACTTCAATGTTGAGCTCTTAAGAAAAGTTTACTTTATTTCTTGCAATCTCATTGTCGTAATGTAGGAAATAGAGCCAGTCACTTAAGGAGGAAGAAAAATCAGGCCAGCTCAACAAAGATAGAGAAAACTAGAAGAGCGACTCAAGTTGAGCAGGTTCCAGTAGAATAAACATGCAAGAAAGGACATTGAAGATCATTCTGCAGGCAAAAAATGTCATTTGTCTAGGACATGATCAGTAAGATGGTCAGGTGCCATTTGATAACTACAGGAACAGTAGAAGAGTTGGGATGTGAACCATTAAATGCGGTCTGTCCATTAAGAGTTCATCATTGCATGCTCTGACAAAAAACAATCCTTTACAGTAAAGTCATAATCCAGGTATTCAAGGAAATTTTTTTTATTACTAGATCAAAACCAGTTACACCCATCCTGTGCACATTTAAAAATCAATGGCAATCCCTTCAGATGTGTACATGTAGATCTAAAACAGACCTGAAGTGGGGTGTGACCAAGTGAATCTCGTAGCGGTCTAATGTTGGAGACAGGGTGTTCAGGAGGTAGCTCGCAGACGATTTGATTTAGTAACTGCAATAAGTTGATGATAGAAGTTAGCAGAGAAAACATAACAATTGTAGTTATAGGACAGACCAAGACCAACCAAACTATCTTTTATTTGTCATTACATCTATGCATGATAAAAACATTATCTAAAATCAAAAGGTTAACAATATAATAATTTATTCGCAATATACAACAACATTTGTAGGAATTCTAATGTTGTATGATCATTCTAGATTCTTAGTATTATATACAACAACGTTTGTAGGAATTTTAATGTTTTATGATCATTCTAGATTCTTAGTATTATTTATTAATATTAGTATTTATTTTTTAGTAGTTAAATTAAAATTCTAGTTTATTCTTATTTATTAGGTTTTCCTTTTCCTATTTTTATTTGGTTTGGTGCCTATAAATATGCACCCCACCTAGGCATTCAGTTAATGCTATGAATATTAATTATCAGGTAAATTGGCTTCTTTTTTTTTTTTATCAAAGAATTGATTCTCTTGATTTTTGTTCTTGGAGGTTCCACATCATATGCTCAATACAGATTTCAAAACCAGTAGTACAAACAGTTTGAACAAGTTAGAATGACATTCAGGGCCCACATATAGCAGACATTTAAGAGAAGTTCAATTAAGTTGGAAATATAAGTTTATTATTATTTCTAGAGGGCCATAGAGGACTCCTGATATGCTCCATAATTTATTAAAAAGTTCGCCAGATTCCCCAGTGATTTTGATCAATGCTATCAAACTTATATGCACACACCAAAATATAGACTGCAAAATATAATCTTACCTCAGCTTGGCGACCAGCATGAAGTCTAACACCAGTTGCATCATACATAACCTGCCAAAAAAATAAAGTCATCCAATAATGTTGACTCAAAATTAATGATCCTGCTTAGTGGCATGATTGTAGCAGACAATTCAGTCTGCCTTAGCAAGAACGCACATAGAAAGGAAATTGCATGAATGTAAGACAAAAGAAAAAATTCAGTCTGGGTTGATAACTTCCAAAGGCACAATTAATGTTAAAACCTAGGTTGATCCACACCAATGTAGCCAGGTCAATCAACTCTTATTTGACAAAAGTTGTAGTTTAGCAACAACAGGAGTCTGCCGATAAGCTTAATTCATCAATACAAGCATTTCACATGCATAGAAATTCTGACAGAAATCATGACCTTAAGCATGATAGGGCATGTCAATAACAAAGAATATACAAAACCTGTTTTATAAATACATACAACGCATGCCAAAACCAATGCAACTGCAAATGTTGGCGCTCCAGTTCCTTCTTGCAGACCAATAGCAGTTGCAAGAGCTGTCACAGTTGCTGAATGGGATGAGGGCATTCCACCTGACCCAAGCATCCTTCTAGTATCCCATCTCTTCTCCTTGAACCTGCACATCTAGCAAGATGATATATTAAATATAAATAAATATATAAATAAAACAGGGCAAAATAGTACAGAAATTAAAAAGAAAATTTAACAGAAATAAGCAAGCTCATCTACATTTTTATAAAAGATTATTTGAGGGCCCATAGAATTGAATTTTACAATTGAGTCCAAAATCAAAAGATTATACCACCTAAGTACATATTTTGCAGAAAACAAATACACTGATTAAAAAATAAAAATAAGCTTTGTCCACACAATTCACATCATCCTGAATTACTCAATTACAAAATATGACATGTAATTTACAATCTTTTAGAAATAACTTTTTCAAGTATAAATTTTAGTATTTCCAGTTTCACTTTCATTAAAAGAAGATTTTGATTTCTCAACAATTACAATCGCAATTCAATTTTTCAGCACATGAACACTTGATCCGCATCTATAACTTGCACAACATGCTCGATTTCGTCAGTGGTTACAGTAAATGCATAGCAACATAACATAAATTCCTGGTCTTCTACCATGATTTAGTTGGAATTTGTCCCAATTATTTTTTCTACCATCGTCAACACAAGAGACTTCAATCGGATCGAGTAGGGTTAATCTAGGCTAATTTCCCAACAATTATATCCAACTCCAAAGAAAGGTCCTAATTACAGGATCCTAAACCCTCAACAGAACATTTACACTACCTTAGAGTCCAAAACAAAGTTGGGGGGCATATTTGAAGATAACAATGAGAAGAATTGCTCAAAATAAACTTACAAAATGGGTAAAATTCACTTTTCATTTTTCAAGCTAAATATTTAGCATTACCCAAATTAGAGTATCAGAATTGTAGTCTACACCAAAAACAGCTAAAAACACATCAAGGCCCACTGTATAAAAAGAAAGAAAAAAACCGAAACGTAGGCTATATTTCTATGTTTCAATAGAGAAGGGCTTGCATTTATGCAATGACGAAAAAAAGAAGGATGGAGATTACCAGGTGGTGAAAAGCTTAAGGAATTGAGCGAGAGAGAAAGCAAGGAAAGCGGAAAGGAGAGGAATGTTGGAGGGAAGAATAGTCGGTGGAGAAGTTACTGATCGATATCTGGACGATGCATCAGCAGCTGTCATGACTTCGTCCATTGAAAGTCAAAATAAAAGAGCCCGACAGAGGAATTTCGATTTTACGAATAGAAGGAGCAAAATATAATGGTTGCGTTGCGGTTAGGCAGGTTGGTCTCTGGTGGGTGAAGATTTGGATTTGGATTTGACTCTCTTCTTCTCCTCCGTCCTTTCGCAGAGGGGAAAAAAATACAGGTCGTAGGGTTTAGTGAGTAAACTGAGTAAATTATAAATTAATCCTTCTAGTTTTAAGAAATAAATTAGTTACTCCCTTTCTTTTAAAAAAAATATTTAATTCTTTAATTTATATTGATAATATTTAATTTAATATTATTTTTATTTAACAAAATTTCTTATTTTATCATCAATCTTTTCATATTTTTCTCTTTTTTTATTTTTCAAAAAAAAAATAAAATAAAAGGAATAAACATAGCTAAATTATAAGTAAATTTCAAAATATGAAGATTAAGTAATTAATTTTTAAAATAAGAGAGACTAATTAACTTGTTTAGAAAAATAAGAGAGACTAATTAATTCATTTTTCTAAACAAGAGAGAATAATTCATAATTTACTCAGAATTAATTATAAATCAATGGCTCTAGTTTTGATTAGATGTGAATAGGATTTTGACTTGAATTTGATCCGAATAAGATGTAATTAAAAGAATTTAATAAATAGTTTGTTTATATGAGTCCAATTATGATCTGAATCTTTAATTTATTTATTAAATGAATTAAATTCAAATATATCTTGATTTGATCCGATAATAATCGATTTAAAATTAAAATTAATATTTTTATAATAAATATAATATCTAAACAAATTATATATATATATATATGAAATTAAGTTGAAATTTAAAGTTTACTTATTATAAAATTCAAATAATGTATATCTTTAAGTAGAGATGCCTATATAATAAATAAAAAACGCATATAAATTTCTTATTATTTTCATAACTCAATTTCAAGATAAAATGACTTATATATCTTTTCAAGAATTTGTATTATTATATTTTTCATCACTCTATTTAAAAAAAAAAAATTTACAAAATAAAAGTAAGAAAAACAGATAAAAAAAAAACTAGAAGAAAAAACAAACTGATTGCAATGAGAGCAAATTGAAAAAAAAAAAGGATGATTAAAAAATAATAATCAAGCCAATTTGGAAAAGATTAGTGTAATTGGAGTTCTTTTCTAAATAAAATAAAAATAAAAAAAATTACGATTCGAAGATATTGAAAAAAAAATCTGATTCAAGCATACTTACATATTTTAAGCATAACTTCACGTCTAGGGGTCCTCATTCATGCGATTCTTGCAACAAATTAAAGCTAAAAAATATAGCTATAATTTATATATTTTAAGCTTGGCTCATATCGACTCACACCCTATAAAAAATTAGATATAAAAGATAGAATTATTGATGATTATCTTGCACTTCACTAATAAAGATTATGAAGGCAATAACTATTATAAGTGATTGGATTTCAAATAAAAAAAAAAACCTATTGTATATTATTTACTTAATTCATTACATTTTTACTCTTTATAAATTAACCAATTATTAAAAATATATGATAATATTAATATATTTTCTTTCTTTCTTTCTTTCTTTGCAAAAAATTATTTGTTATGTGTTTATTTTAGTTTTATCGTACTTACTATCTAATTCAAAATAAACTTTTATTAAGATTATATAATTTTGTACTTTTGAATTGTGTGTCATTTTCCATTTTTTACAAAATTGATGGATAGAGTCTTATCTTAATATATTTTATTATATATGTTGCTCCATGATATTTATAGGACTTTCAAAAATTTAGACTAAGAAAAAAGAATTAAGAAGATTTTTAGAGCCACCACCTAATATTGAAGGGAATTAGGAAACTTAATAAATGCACTAGATTCAAAAATTTTAGATAAAGAATTGGTTATATATTTGAGAAGATAACAATCATCCGAAGATATTATTTTCAAGAAAATGTATCGAATTTAGTCCAATCTTAAAAGTATTTCCTAAAAATTGTGTTTGCCAAATTATTTTCTAAATCTATTTCCAAGATTATTTTTCATCTATGTCAAATTGATTTTTTTTTTTTTTATTGTGAAATTGTATCAAATTGATGTCGGATCACAAAGCCAAGAGTCTAATTAATTTAGTATAGGATCTAATTACATCTTGATACGATTGGCATGTCAAGAAACGATCTAATTACCTAAGGTGTTAACTTAGAACATAGCATGAGACCGACCCATACCTAACTCTAGCTTATTTATTTATTTTTATAAGATTTCAAAATTAACATCAGCTTCTAAAAAATTTAGGAGACTCGATGATTTTCATGACAAAAAATAATAATTGATTTATTATTATTATAGGTTTTTTTTTTTTTTAGCATGAATAATATACATGGGAGACATGATGTGCGAATTGACAAGATAACTTCAAAATCGTTAGAGCACATCCAAAAATAAAAGAAAAAACCATGGCAGTACCCAACTTCATCATATATCTATTATCAAAGCAATATTGAAATGTGACCACGTACATGAACTATAGGCATTCCCATTAGCTGAACATCGCGTTCATTAGCGAACTAAACTAGAATTCTCCCAAACTAGGCACCGACTTTGTCAAGAATTGAATAGACCTCTAGCATGCTAACGATGACCAAAACAAACCCCTTTATAATGAACAAATCCTTTTCCTAGAGTTTCTACCCGTATGGATTCTAAGAACTAAGGCCAGGGACACATCCTTTAACCCCACTCATGACCACACAAGCATATATGACTTAGCTAGTTCGAATTATGCATGATATGAGGACACCTAGATCAGTCATCGTTAGAACGACAAACACAACACATACTGTCATTTTCTTTTTTGATCTTTTATCACCATTCTTAGACTAGCGAAACAGGACATCTTTGTTCATGTTAAACCCATGCTTATATTAGTGTTCCTTTATAAGCAGATTGAAACGAAAACTCCAGTTCTTTCATCCAATTCCTGGCCCTATCCAAACAAAACCATTATAACGCCTTTATTGAAACATTCAACAGATCCACATCTCAGTTCAAAAAGTTTACACAAAGCATATGAACCCAGACTCCCTAACTTAAAATTTAGCCTTGAACCCTCGAGTTTAATGGTGTAACATGGCATAACGAAAACCAGAGAGAAGCATGTAAAATCACTTAGCACTGTTGTAGCAAATTAGAATGTTAAATCCTAAATTTGTTAACCTATGTTGTAGAATATTTAAAACACTCAATCACACATGCAAGTGTACACAGTCAACAAGTAATATAATGATAAGTTTCAAAGATCAATCCCACCGAGAATTGCATTAAACCTACCAAGTATTAAAATTATTTGAAGATTTGAAAGTTGAAGAGTGTCTACTATGATTTATGAGAACACTATAACCAAATGTAAATGATAAAACTAAATTAGAGAACGAAAACCTAGAGTAACAACTTCACCTAGCAATACACTTGATTAATTAAGTCTTATCTCGATTAAACCATCACTAATTCCCTTGTAAAACGAACACACTTAATATATTTAATGAAAAGTATATTAAATTAAATCAAAACACTATATTCCTATGTGAATCAATTTAAAGGAACTCATTAAGGTCAAGCATCCATTATGTTTGCATATGTATCTAAGTATATTCCTACTTTATATGAACATATGTCACTTTATTCAAGAGTCTATTCTCAAATTATCTTTTTCAAGAATCATTCAATAATCACAATCCATGTAATTGTTGATCAAGCAATTATAAGCATTAAGCATAGAATAAAGCAAACAACTTATGAAGTGATGAACAAAATCAAGAATCAAGACAAAAATAAGCTTCATGTTTTGGATCCATTAAAACTCTAGAAAAATAATTAGTTCAAGTTTAACATATTTAAGAATAGCATCTTAATCATGAACATAAAATAGAGTAAAATAAAAATTAAAGATATAATCACTAAAGACACTTATGAATCTTGGAAATTCCCCAATAATTCCAAGACTTGTAAGTATATTGCAAAAACCCTAAACTCTTCGTGTTGACAAAGTCTATTCTACCCCTTATTCTTGTAGAATATTTGGATAGGAAGAGAGGTCTTAGATGAGTTTTTTTTTTTTTTTTTTTGGGATTTAAAAGTTATTCTTTTCGGTCCACTTAGAACTTGTCTTATGTTGTCCTTTTCTTTTCTCTCCAACATATGTTTTCCCTTTTTTAACAAATTCAGCTCACCTTCGACACTAAAAAGTGTAGTCATTCATGTATTCAAGAATGGCTACATTCATGCTTCCTTTATTGACTTCTTTATGTTTTGATTTTAAAGAAGGCTGCTTGCGAACTCGTCTTTTTCGTCACTCGTGACCTTATTTTCTATAGGATGTTGATATTTCTAAGTTAATCTAAAAAATATGAACTATAAAAGTATCTATTAGATTTATTATGGATCAAGAATGACATGAATTGGATATTTGTACGGGAAGTTATGCCCATAAAATAGGAGTATGTTTGAGTAGCCTTTTTTTTTTTTTTTTTTACCAAATTCGACTACTAGCCTTTTTCGACCCGTCAATTGTGATATGATTTTCTCCATGTTGCAAGTTGATCTGGACTAATCTTAAATATATAAACTGTCACCTTATCATTTATCTTTAATTATTGAAAATAATCATATGATTTGGAAATCTATGGAAGAAATTACATTTAAAATGCACAAATATGTCAAAATCATAAATCCAAATTGCTAATTTGTTTAACTAATAACTTGTAGCTCCCATTTCTCCATGAACTAGGCGGATATAAGTTGAGATCAAAACATATGAATTGTAGCTACATGTCTTATCTTTACATTGCAAAAAGAATCATTTGGACCTCTACACGGAAAGTTATACTCAAATTATTGACATATGTGTAAGTTTAGAAAGCCAACTCACCAACTTGCAAATTTATCGACTTGCCAACTTATTCAACCAAATTGCACAAATCTTCTCTAAA